GGGGCCGGTCAGGTGGCTGCTCGGAGTCAGGGGGCCAGTTGAGGGCAAGCCCAGGGAGCTGGTCAGCGTGCCCCCCGGGGACACCGCCATGGGGCCGGTCAGGAGGCTGGTGAGCGTGCCATTCTGTGACAGAGAGCCCGGGCCAGGCAGCAGGGGGCTGAGGGGGCCGGTCAGGGGGTTCGCGGCTGGGCGTGCTGTGGCGCCGGGCTGCGGGCTGTTTAGCATGTCGGCCAGGGGCGCCAGAGTCATGATCCCCACTTCATCCAGGAAAGGCTCGTTTGCTGCTGCCGGGGACGGGGGCAGGAACACACCTGGGGGACACAGAGAAAGCACTGAGACCCCAGGCAGGCTCTTCGAGGAAGGGGCCTGGGCCAAGGTGCCGTCTTCCTCTGAGGAGCGGACCAACTCTGAGCCTCTTCTAGGCGGCCCAGACGATGGTCCTTTCCCTTTGGGGGCGGTCTGTGGGGTGCCTCGGCAGATCCCCCATGCGGGTCCGGCCCTTTGTCCACATCTTCTGAAGGAGCTTTGCTCCTCTGGGCCCACTTCTCTGAACACCCACCTGCCACCAAGCCAGAGGGCCCTTCCCCAGCTGCCCACGGTCTCCTGGTGGCTGGTCCCCCGGGCTGCCCTGCTGTCCCGTCCTTCCCCCGGCAGGGAGCAGTGGGTCCTGGCCTCCTGCCCACTGCTGCTGTGGGGACAGCCTCACCTCCCGGGTGCGGGGCCCTCAGGGAGGCCGGGCGGGACTAGGCACAGCATCTCTGGGAGCACTAAGTGCGGATTCAGCAGGGCAGGCGGGCCCAGAGGCAAGGCCTCACGCTCCAGTCCCTGTGTAGGCGGAGAGCCTGGAGAGCCTGTTTCCTTGGGTCCTGAGGTCAGTGCCCTTGAATGACCTCTGTTGTGGGGGAGAAGGCCCCTGGGGACGCAGAAGCTGGGGGGAGGGTGCAGGGAAGGTTTTAACCGAAAACTGCTACCAAGAGCCATTAGCTCGGTAGAAAACAGGGAAAGGAACCACAATTAGAAATGCGGTCGTCCCCTCCCCCGCGGGTGGTCGCAGTACAGAGCTCTGTGTTGCCTTGAAGAAGAGTTTTCTAGATCAGGGGTCGAGAACCTTTCCTATTAAGGGCTGGTGGTAAATATTCCGGGTTTTGCAGGCCCCCCACCCCCGGTCTCTGTGGAGACAGCTCGGCTAGGCCACAGGGCTGGCAAAGCAGCCACAGACAATGCGGAGACAAACGTGGCAACAAAACTTGATTCAGAGACACTGATGTCTGAATTTCGTGGACTTTTGGCATGTCCGGAAATAGCATTCTTTTGATTTTGTTTCAACCATTAAAAATGTAAAATCCGGGGCATCTGGGTGGCTCAGTGAGTAAGCCTCTGCCTTCGGCTTGGGTTATGATCTCTGGGTCCTGGAATCGAGTCCCGCATTGGGCTCTCTGCTCAGCGGGGAGCCTGCTTACCCCGCTCTCTGTTTGTCTCTCTGCCTGCTTGTGCTGTCTCTCTCTCCGTTGAATAAATGAGTAAAATCTTAAAAAAAAAAAAAAAAAGTAAAATCTGTTCTTAGCTCCAGGACCACGTACCCAGAGGTGGCAGTCTCGTCTGGCCTCCCTGTCCTCCTGTCCTCCCTGTCTTCCTCCTGCACCGCCTCCAGCACCACCCTTCTCTCTGAGACCCTCACTCAGGGTGGCGGCCCGGGCTCCCGCTCCCGAAGGTGCCTCTCTTCCTTGAGCCTCTTCCAACCCTTGAGCAAGCAAATTGATTCCAATTTTCCCAATGACAAATAATTCTCCTACACAAATCTTTTTTATTAGGTTTTAAATGTTAATTCCAGCATCGTTAACATGGACCGCAAGATTAGTTTCCGGGTTCGCCGTAGTGATTCGACGCTTGTAGGCATCACCTGGAGCGCATCAGGACAGGTGCACGCCCTAATCCCCACCACCTGTCCCCCCCACCCCCGCCCCCCGGCCCTCTGGCGACCCTCAGTGAGTTCAGATTGTGTTTCCTGGTTTGCCTCTTTCTTTCTTTCTTTCCTTCTTTTTCCATTTGCTTGTTTGTTTCTTAAATTTCACAAATGAGTGAAATCATATGGTATTTGTCTTTCTCTGACTTATTTTGCTCAGCATAATACTCTCTATAGTTCCATCCACATTGTTGCAAATGGCAAGATTTCGGTTTTTTATGCCTGAGTAATATTCCACTGTGTGTGTGTGTGTGTGTGTGTGTGTGTGTGTGTGTGAGACATCTTCATCCGTTTACCTGTCGCTGGACACTTGGGCTGCTTCCATATCTTTGCCATCATAGATAATGCTGTTACAAGCCCGGGGGTCATGTATCCCTTCGAATTAGTGTTTTTGTATTCTTTGGATAAATACCCAGTAGTGCGATTGCTGGGTCGTATGATAGCTCTATTTTCAACTTTTTTTTTTTAAAGATTTTATTTAGTTATTTATTTGACAGACAGAGATCACAAGTAGGCAGAGAGGCAGGCAGAGAGAGAGAGAGAGGAGGAAGCAGGCTCCCTGCTGAGCAGAGAGCCCGATGTGGGGCTCGATCCCAGGACCCTGGGATCATGACCCGAGCCGAAGGCAGAGGCTTTAACACACTGAGCCACCCAGGCGCCCCTATTTTCAACTTTTTGAGGATCCTTCGTGCTGTTTTCCAGAGCCGCTGCACCAGCTTGCATTCCCACCAACAGTGTAGGGGGCTCCCCTTTCCTACATCCTCGCCAACACCTGTTGTTTGCTGTGTTGTTGATTTTAGCCGTTCTGACTGGTGTGAGGTGTTATCTCAGTGTGGTTCTGATTTGTATTTCCCTGAAGATGAGTGATGTTGACTACATAAATCTTTATTATTGCCCCCCCCCCCGAAAACAGACATTCCAGTGGTCCTTAACGCACATGGCTAAATCTACCTTCCTTAAGACTCCCAGAAACATCCCTACATTCCTTCGGAAGTCTCCGGGCTTCTTGCTTAAATCTATGCCCGTGAGACCCTATAGAATGTGTGCCAAGATGTCTTGAAACTTAATTTTTTTTTAAGAATTTTTTTTTTTTTTTTGAGAGACAGCACAAGCCGAGTGAAGGGCATGGGGAGAGGTGGTCTCCCAGCGGAGCAGGGAGCTGGACATAGCGCTCTCTCCCAGGACCCGGAGACCATGACCTGAGCTGAAGGCAGTTGCTTAATCAACTGAGCCACCCAGGTTCTCCAAGAAAACTGCAAACATTTTTGAAAGGAATTAAAGAAGATCTAAGTAAATGGGAAAGAATCCCATGGAGAGTAATACTCCCCAAGTTCACCCGCAGAGTCATTGCAATCTGTCAGAATCCAGACTGACTTCTTTGTAGGGACTGACAAGTTGATCCCCAAATTCACAAGGAATTGCAAGGGACCCAGAATGGCCAAAGCCACATTTTAAAAGCAAGAAGCCATTGTTACAGGTGTCACTTAGCCACCCTGCACTTCTCCCCCTTATACTACCTAAGAAAAAAGAAAAGAGAGACAGAGAGAGAAGAAAGCAAGGAAGGAAGGAAGGAAGGAAGGAGGGAGAAAGTTCGAGGATGCAGTTTCAGATTTCAGAATTTACTACAAAGCTACAGCAGTTGGGATCATGTGACTCTGGCATAGTGAGAGACATATAGGTGGATGGAATAGTATAGGGAGCCCAGAAATAAACACATGTATCTGTGGCCTGATTTTCAACAAGGGGGCCAAGACAATTCAATGAAGGAAAGAATAATCTTTTCAAAAAATGGTGAGGGGACTACGGGAATCCATGTGTAAAAGAATGAAATTAGACACTTGCCTCACAACATACACAAAAGTTGAATGGATCAAAGGCCTACATGTAAGAACTAAAACTGTAAAATTCTTAGAAGAAAATATAGGGTTTCATGACTCTGGATTTGGCCATGTATTCTTAGATGTGGCCCCAAAACTGTGAGCAACAAAAGAAATAGTAGATGAGATGGATTTCATCAAATGTAAAAGCTTCTGTGTCTCAAAGGACACCATCAAGGAAGTAAAAAGGCAACCCATGGAATGGGAGAAGGCGTTCACGAGTCACACATTTGGTAAGAGACATGTAAACAGAATCCTTCAAGAACTCTTACAACTCAATAATTAAAAAAATTAGTTGCCCAACTTAAAAATGGGCAAAGGACATGAACAGGCATTCTCAAAGATGATATTCAAATGGCCAATTAGCAGGGAAAAGATGCTCAGACTTATTATGCATTAGGGAAAGGCAAATCAGAACCACGTCACACTCACTGGGATGGCTATAATAAAAAATTCAGATAAGTATGGGTAAGGATATGGGGAAATTGGAACACTTGTCCATTGCTGGTGGAATGAACAAGAGGGAACCACCTTGAGAAACAACCTGACAGTTCCTCAAACAGTTACACATATAGTCACCATATGACCCAGCAATTCTACTCTTAGATACACACCCATGAGAAATGGAAACATAAATCCACCCAAAAACTCATATGGATGTTTATAGCAGTGTTACTCATAATGGCCCAAAAGAGAAACCACCCAAGAGTCCATCGGCTGCTGAATGAATAAACAAAATGTGGCATATCCATTAATGAAATATTATTCATCCATGAAACAACAGCAAACAACGAATACGAACTGGAAATCCCGACTCACTCTACAGCATGGGCAACCCTGAACTGTGCGGGGTGGAGGAAACCAGACCCAAAAGCCACATATATATGATTTCCGGTGTAAGAAATATCCAGAATAGGCAAATCCATAAAAACAGAAAGTAGATGATGGCTGCTGAGAGTTGTGGAGGGTTAGGTGGTTGGAGTATCATAGCTGAAGGGTTTCCTTCTGGGACGATGGAAATGTTCTAAGATCTTGGTGATCTTTGTGCAAACCCATGGGCACATGAACAACTATTGAATCACACACTTTAAATGGGTGAATTGCATGGTATGTGAATTACATCCCAATAAAGTTGTTATTTTAAAAATGATTCAGGGGCGCCTGGGTGGCTCAGTGGGTTAAGCCTCTGCCTTCAGCTCAGGTCATGATCTCAGGGTCCTGGGATCGAGTCCCACATCAGGCTCTCTGCTCAGCGGGGAGCCTGCTTCCTCCTCTCTCTCTGCCTGCTTGTGATCTCTCTGTCAAACAAATAAATAAAATCTTAAAAAAAATGATTCATTGGGGTCACAGGCATTTAGGTTTGCAAGAAAAACATTTATGGTTCAGGGGCCGATTAAATGCACCCACAGATCACGGAGGAGCAGATGTCCCGCTGCTCGGAGCCATGACTGTTGTGGCTGCAGCCACAGACACCGGCTTCATAGGGTTTGCAACCCATTGGGGTCACCAATGAGAATCCCAGGAGCCACCTGGCAGAAATATCTGATGAGTTTGGGGAGCACCAGTAATACTGAAGCCGTGATGTGAGCCAGGGGTCCGCAGCTGGCCGCTGTTTGAGAGATTTCCATCTCAAACACCATCTGATTTCACTCATGCGTGGAATTAAGAAACAAAACAAATGAGCAAAGGGAAAAAGAAAGAGAAAGAAAGGCAAACTGAGAAACAGACTGTTAAGGGTAGAGAACCCCCTGGTGGTGACACAGGGTGGGTGGGGTAATGGGCTCAGTAGGGGATGGGGGTTAAGGAGTGCACCTGTTGTGAGGAGCACAGGGGTTGTGTGGAAGTGTGGAATCCATGCGCTGTGCATCTGAGACTAACAGGACACCGTATGCCAAGTACTGGAATCTAAATAAAAACTAGACATTTGGGGCACCTGGGTGGCTCAGTGGGTTAAAGCCTCTGCCTTCGGCTCTGGTCATGATCCCAGGGTCCTGGGATCGAGCCCCATATCGGGCTCTCTGCTCAGCGGGGAGCCTGCTTCTCCCTCTCTCTCTGCCTGCCTCTCTGCCTGCTTGTGATCTCTTTCTGTCAAATAAATAAATAGAATCTTAAAAAAAAAACAAATAGACATTTCCGTCCCACATCTTTGTACTCTAACGCAAAATGTACCTGTGATGTTTACTCTTCTTATAATTTCTATTTAATTGATCAATTTTTAAAAATCCATAGAGAGGGGGTGCCTGGGTGGCTCAGTGGTTAAAGCCTCTGCCTTCGGCTCAGGTCATGATCTCAGGGTCTTGGGATCGAGTCCCGCATGGGGCTCTCTGCTCAGCAAGGAGCCTGCCTCCTCCTCCTGTCTCTCTCTGCCTGCCTCTCTGCCTACTTGTGATCTGTCTGTCAAAAAAAAAAAAAAAAAACTTAAAAAAAAATCCATAGACAGAGCACAGCACGCCCCCATGCAGGGAGGGGCAGAGGGAAAGAATTCCCAGGGGACTCGTCCCTGAGCAGAGCCCCACCAGATGCCACCACCAGAGACCACACCTTAGCAGAAACCAAGAGTCTGATGCTGACTGACTGAGCCACCCTGAGGCCCCTGATGGTTTTTGGGTTTTTTTGTTTTTTTTTTTTAGATTTTATTTGAGAGAGAGCGGGAGAGCGCGAGTGGGAGGGGCAGAAGGAGGGGGAGAAGCAGGCTTCCTGGAGCAGAGAGCCCAATGTGGGGCTCAATCCCAGGACTGTGGGATCATGACCTGAGCCGGAGGCAGACGCCCAACCAATTGAGCCACCCAGGTCCCTGAGGGATTTTTTTTTTTTTTTAAGATTTTGTTTTTAATCTCTACATCCAACATGCGGCATAAGCTCACAACCTCCAGACCAGTCACGTGCTCCACCCCTGGACCAGCCACCAGCCCCCTGCATCCCTTCGTAAATTGTATTTAATTGATTTAGATTTGTGGGGCGAACCCTTCCCAGGTTTAGATGCAGTGTTAGAGCCGTAAGGAGAGATTTAGATTCACTGCGTTTGTATCTATTTCACACATGAGACTTATTTAGGGTCCAGGAAGTTTGTTACATGGGACTATCAAAGTTAGACAACGTCTGACGCCCCCCCCACCTGCTCCTCTCAGCGGAAGCCCGTGATCCGCGCCGCCGCCCCACTGGGGTCGCGGGTTCGGGGCGGGTGGACTGGGTGGCGGCGGGGGTGCGGAAGGTCGCACCACACCGGCCTCCGGCCCACTGTCAACCCTCCGGCCTCCGACCCCGCCTCCTACCCCGCCCACCGCCGCGGCCCTCCTCCTCGGGCCCCGCCCCCAGCCAGCCGGCCCCGCCCCCGGCCCACCCTCCGCCTCCGACCCCGCCCACCCCCGCAGCCCTCCTCCACGGGCCCCGCCCCGCCCCGCCCACCGCCCCCGGCCCTCCAGCCTCGGTCCCCGCCCCCAGCGTGTCGGAGTCCGCGGCGGGGGCGGGGCTCGGCGTGGGGGCGGGCTCGGCGTGGGGGCGGGGCCAGAGCCGGGGCTGTGACTTTCGACGCGGGAGAACCGAGAGGGCGGCGGGGCCCGCAGACGGGCGGCCGGCGAACGCAGTGGCTTTAGACGGTGCTCGGACGGTTCCAAGGGTGCTGAGGCGGCGGGAAGGGGGAAAGAGCGCGGGGGGCTGATGACAGGTCCTGGGGGCTGGCGGGTCCCGAGGGGCGACAGGTCCTGGGCGGACGGATCTGGGATGCTGAGCATCGGCTCCTGGGGTGGGTTTACATCCTGGGGACCCTGGTTCTGAGGGGCTGTGAGCAGGGTTTCGAGGGGCTGGCTGGGCTCGTAGGGAGGAGGGAGGGGTCCTGGGGTGAGGGGTGGCGGGCGGTGGGAGAAGGCTCTGGGAGGGAAGGCAGCCCCTGATTTGGGGGAAGCGCAGGGGCAGGGGTGGCAAGGCCCTTCTGGAGACGGGAACTAGGCCGCTCCCTGCCTCAGGAAGCTTCCAGCAGCCTGCATCCTCTGAGAGAGGACGAGGACGGAGGGGGCAGCAGGCCGTGGGGGCGGGGGTGGCCTTACGTGGAGGAGGAGTGGGGGGAGGGACCAGGTAGAAAGAGCAACAGAGCCCCTCCCTAGCCCCCAGCCCCGCCCCGCAGCCTTTCCCGGCCCTATGGCCTGTCTGGGCCTTAAAACTTCTGTGTGGATCCGCCAGGCCTGACCAGTGGGGCAGAAGCCGCCCCTGTTCTAATCACCTGAGCACTCGCGGGGCCTCATTCCTTCTGTCCTCCCTCTGCCCCAACTTCCCATCCATGGTCTGTCCTCCCTCTGCCCCGACTTCCCATCAATGCCGGCTCACCCCAGTGGGGAGGGTGGGAGCCGTGGGAAGAGCCCTGGGGAGCAGGAGGCCTTGCCATCCTAATCCCATCCTGGCTCTTCCTCCCACCTGCAGTGTTCACAGGGCCAAGGCCTGAACCTCTCAGGCCCTGTCTGCTCCCTGTGTTCCTGAGGCCACAGCTGCAGTGTCGTGGCCCGCCGCTCCGATGACCCACGCTGCCCTGCTCAGTACGACTCGGGGCGCCTGCTCTGGGAGCCCCTGCTAACCTGTAGCACACCGGCATGCCGGCATGCTTCTTCTCTCCCCATCAGCAGCTCCGTTTCCCCCGGCCACCTCCCCTGCCCCTGTCCCCAGCGAGTGCTCCTGGGGCAGGTTGGGGCCACTGCCTCTAGGATCCACAGATGTCTCCATTCCCGGAGCTCCCTACACAGCCAGACAGAGGGACCAGGCTCCCCCTCAGTTCTTCCGTCGTGCTCACCGTCTTGGCTCGCAGACAATGCCATTTTTACAGGGAAAATCAAAGCCGTGGTTCTGGAGCTTTCTCTGCCTCCTGTCCTCTTTCCTGTCCAGGGCAGGGGATGAGCCATCCTCCTCCCCTCTGGGAAGTGCCCCATTCTCTTCAGCAATTCCTGTGCCGTTCTGGCTTCTTCCCGCCTCAGGGTAACAAGCTCCCGTCTCTGTGTCTCTGCCTTGTCTCTCTCTCTCTCTCTCTCAGCTTGGCTGCGAGACCTGTCCAGCCACCGCCTGCCTGCGGCCAGGCCCCTCTGCTCCCATTCCCTCCGGCTGTCTCGCTCTTGCCCGCACGGTGTGGGACTCTTGTGTCTGTACTGGGGTTTAAGTCTAAGCAGGCGCATTCCCACCCGGGTCCTCAGAGGCCCCCTATGTCCTTAGCACGTTTCTTGCCTGACTTCCCCCAACCTGTTACTCTGCTGATGCTCTGTCCCCTCGAAGCTGTGCCTCCGAGACGTTGCAGGTTGAGGTTTCCGCTCCATGCATCTCTCCTGGGCTGGCTCTGCTGCCCCTCCCAGCTGGCCCTGCCATCTCCCAGAGAGTCAGATTTGTGGTTGCTCCCAGAGGTGTCCCACGAGTTCCCAGCCGGGCGGTCCCGTGCCGCTCAGGGGTACCCACCAGCTCAGGCTGTGTTCGCTTCTGCGGACCTTCTGCGGGGGGGCGGGGGAGGGCAGAGCTAGAAACCCCTGGGTTTTGGAGGAC